TTTATGTAATACAAAGTAAATCTGAATAAATAGAATGCTCATATGTGTTATGTGATTAATACTATAATGAATCTAACTATTTCACATTAGTTTTATGTTCATGGAGGTTTGTTCTCTGAGCTGGATGGTTTGGTCGTGAAGCTTTCATCGTCTTTCTGAACTACACCATCAGTACAAACTTCGAGTGTGATGATGTTGTACAGAAGGACGATGAAAGCTCCACGATCGAACCATCCAGCTCAGAGAACAAAACTCCATCAAAATCACCCACCTGAGCTACAAGTGTTCTCCACCATCTTAATATTAGTTTTATGTTTACCGCTATTTGGATGTTTATAGAAACCAGTGATACAAAGATTGAAATGATCTCATTCACACATCAAAAATATTACTCCGTTTTCAATATATGTTTACAAATAAGTCATCTGATAAATCTAACAAGGATTTCTAACACTATTATTTATATTTTACCTAGTAATATAGCCCATTTTTTTTATCACATAACTTTGAATTTCCTTAAATGGACGATAGTTATTGAACAAGGGTACTATTAAAAAACAAAAACAGAAATTATAAATTATATTCGATGTGTTTCTGTGAGGATGGTCCATGGGTGAAATTGATGAAGCTCTAAGAAGCTCAGAAAGAGCCGAGGATATTCCATCCAATCAGCTTTTGGAAGAATATTTCAGAATCTTGACGTGTTGCTTCCCTATTCGACAAATGCTAATAACTCCCTGTGTGCGAACTAGATAACTATAATAATGATTTCGTTTGGAATAACAGTCCTTCCACTTGTCTTCTGTCTTTTCATTTGTGACTTGGAAAGATTCTAGCGACCTATAGCCCAAGTATATATGCGGCATACTGAGAATCTAAGTTCTAGATATAGCAGTTTTCTTCCTTATTGTCTTTCTCGCTTATATTATTGTCAATAAACAAACTAGAAACTCCTTATGATTTTTTATATCTAACTGATTCAGTAAAATAAAATACTCCCCTTTTTTGACAATGCTTTTAACAACCATTGAAACATTCAAAATAATATTCAAACTGACGACGATGATGACGATGATAATCAGTAATGTTGATCTTTTGCAAAGAAAACCTCCTAGCTTTTAAGTATTGATATATATGAATGATAATTGCCTTTATTTTTGTATAAAACAATCTTCAACATGGATAGATTGTAAATATATCAATATTGAAAAACAATTCAACTGTCATATTGAACCCTTTTTTTGACGGTTTGTTTATGATGATATAATAGAACAACAGTTACATATTCATTTGTTTATTAAACAAGTAAAACAAAATGTGTGAAATCTAAGGAATTAAGATACTACGAAAAGAAAAAGAAGCAAAATACCCCCACCCCACCCTTTTGTTTTCTCAAAAAATCAAGCGAAACGTCGAAAATAAAAGACAATTTGTAAACAGGCCTTGTTTTTTTTATAAGCTTGTTTTAATTGTAAACAATATCATTCATCAATTGTGTTTGTATATAACATGTTTAATTACTATTTGAATCTGTTGATAGAATCATGTGATTATAAACTTTTTAAAAAAATTATATGTGTGTTTTACGTTAGATACAAATTTCTTGCATAGTAACAGAAATTCGTTGTAAAAAAAATTGTACTGCCTTGACAACTATTTCGGAAACAGAAAAAAAAGAAAAAGCTATCAGTTCAATTTAAAATGTTTAATAAAATGAGAAAAGGTGGATAGTGGCTAGCAGTGGAATCCAGGACGCTATATAGAGGTAATACACACAGTATACACATATGGCCAATAAGAGACTGACCAATTGCAGTCCTAAACATCAATGGGAAGATACAAACAAACAATATTAAGTGAGTTTAAACTTCACCTCATTGCACAAACAAATGGCCCTCAGGACTCAGTAGCTGAGTGGATAATGCGATGGCGTTTGAAGCGAAAGGTACTGCGTTCGAGTCCTAGAGTGAACATCAACTCTGAGATGCAGGTACATTCAGCAGACGAGTCCCGAGTGGGATGAAACGCGCGTCAAACTGGATTCTACTGCTGGTCACTATTTATCTTTGTTTAATAAAATGGCTTAAAATAACTGACACGTTTACTATTTTAGGTAGTGAAGAGAATGAACAATATTTTTAGAGACTGGCGATCTTGAGGATTTAATAATAAATTATCATAAGGTGATTCAAAAACTCTTTTATATATCCTAATCAAGATGGATACTTTATATCTATTCTGGTTTACCATTTTATAATGTTTATAATGTATTACTTAAAAGAAATTCTATCAGAAAATTAATTCATGACCGCTTTTCCGTTATGTATTTGCCTACAGCAGTACTAAATAGTCTGAGATAGCTTCCTTCACGTGTCCATGGAATCTTTCAGATAAAATCACTAAAAATATCAAACTTGAGTATTAGGAAAGCTTGAATTTTTTAGGCTGCTGAATGCCCTGGTATGGCCGAGAGTACGAAAAGTACGCTCTCATTCTCGAAATGCTCTCATATGGCCACGCGTATACAACCACTGACAAGGAATTCCTGCTCGCTGCCTTCTGGTGATGTTACTGTTGTTTACGACATTGAGAGGAAAAAAGCGAATGTCTGAGTCTTTACCCAGGTTGATGATCACTGAGGGTACACCTAGGGTAGCTCACATAGGCTCCAGGTATTTGAGGGTAAAAATGGAGTATGAACCCATTGTTGGCCATCGGATACCATGGAATTGCATCTCCTGATGTTGACCTACTGCTTTGAGATCAGACCTTGAGGTCGAAAATTCCAGGTGTGGTCCCTTCAGAAAATCACCTGCTTCGATTTCGGCATCCAAGCATTATTACAGTTCTCATGCGCGCATATCTGTTTGGTGCCTCTCTGTACCAATGTTTATGTGTTTAAATAAATAAATAAATAAATATACAACTAAACATAAGTAGAGTAGGCTACAATTCTAGATTTTAAAACTGTAAAATATGATTTTATGAGCCATAGTCATATAAAAACTCACTACATGACTAAGTCATGTTAACATTGTTCCCTATTCTGACAATACTATTGTAGTGAACGAGAACACATGGGGGGACAATCGAATGTATATGAACACAAAATTATAGAACATCTTAGTAAAATCTGAGAACCATACAGTAAATACGTCATTTGCAAAATGTCAATCAATTGTCTCAAACTTGACTGTTTCTTTTGCAAATATCAATCAATCAATTGTCTCCGACTTTATTGCTTCTTCATTTCCAAACCAATCATTCTCGTTCTCTTTTCTTTGATCTTCTTAACCTTCTGCCTCCAGGCATTTCACTTTTGATTGAATATACATACTACTTATAACTGTCGACATCACTAGCACACACCACACTGTAGTTAACAAAAGGTGACATTAACTTATTTTTATCAAATAGAAAATCCTTGAATATTACACTGCCATTTCAAACAAATATTGACTACATTGTTCCAAATTAATAAGTGACTAAGATCATTTTATATTTCGGTCTTTAGTTAACTTGATAAATAATCCTAAAATGACAAACAATACGATGCACAACTAATCAATTTGAGTAACTATTCAGGATCTTTGAAGTATTTCTAGCCTTATTTTTAACTTCACTGCCTAACAATTTTCCATTTTATGAGCTTCTGCTTATTTGGTTGCATGATACATATTTTTTCTAAGTTGCCAAGGGGAAATCGCTCTTTTCGCATAGGAAAGTTTAGGAGTTCGAACAACTGGAAGCCAATTCAACTATGTATGAGGATTATGTTCAAAGGATAAAGTTAGGGAGTTATTAACCATACGTGACCTTTATTTACTGAATAGAGTTCATATGGTTCAGAATTAGTTATGGAAAAGACTAAAACTAGGAAAATAAAATATGTCATGGTTGGGAAAAATCACATTTTCTCATGATCTCATATCATGAGTGGCGAAACAGCTTGATTTCAGTATAAATTCCATGCTAAAAAGAACATAAACAATCGCCAGTTAGTTCTTTGTACCAAATGAAGTGCCCATTGTGACATTCGATTGTGAATAAATTTCCACTTTATCTTGTTCATAAATGTCTCTTTCAGTTCATTCTTCCGTCCCTAAGCACACTCATCGGAAGAATAGAAAGGAGAACTAGTGACCGGATCGCTGAGCACTCTACATGAAAGCTAAGATTATAATGACACCGTGTTTCCATTTTCTTTTCAGTTTCATATTCTAATATATCAATACATTTGATCTTTTAAACTAATTATTTTTATTCTTCATGTCGCACTCAGCTTCAGTCAAGACTATTTTGGTGTATAATATCCATAATCCTTTTGACTTTTCGAATGACTTGCGGATTTTAGGCAACTGAAGACAATCCACGAAATAAATAAGTTTTATATTTTTTTACCACCCACTAACTGTTCTTACCAGAATGGGGATTTTTGGAGATTGTGGTAACTTTAATTGCTGAGTTAAACTACTAATGAAAACCTAGAAGCACTAGATGACCGTTTTGCACTATCATGCTACTCCTCAGAAGTGAGCACCCAAGATCTCGCATGCTGAACTCGAACCCAGGACATTCGGTCTCGCGCGCAGACACCTACTTTATTTTAAGTTATAAACAGATATAAGTTGTAAGAAATAAAACAACCAAGTTGTTTAAGTACACTCAACTTGGCAAATTCTCCTCCCGACAGGAATAACCTTTATATAATCTAAGTACTTGGTACAAAATAGTTTAATGTACATCCTAAAATCATTTAGTTTTGTTTATTTTTGCCAAGTGGTTCATAGTTTCTCGCTTTTTAGATATCAAAAACTGTATTTGTTTAGCGTTTGTTGATAAATGGAATTCTTGAGTGTATTTGTTCTATATTTTGTCTTTAAACGATTAACAACGTTTGCATTCACAGATTAAACAAAGCTGATAAATTACAGCTCACATAAATGGTATCATGATACTTATTTTCTTATTATTCTCCATATTTTACACTTTCATCTCAGCGATTCTTGAAGACACCTATGTTTCTGGCTGGAATAGTTGGACCAAAAATGGTGACAAATACTTTGGAGTAAGTGAATGTTGTATTAATATTTTGTTCATTTATGAACAAATGTATTACAAGCTGAATTTTATGCATTATCGTTAAGTCAACGCAGTCATTGTGATGAGGACGTTGAATCCAATACAAGTGAATATCTTTATGTCCAAGTTGAAAAAATAAGTCTTATCAATAATGTTACAAAACTGTACAGCTCATTTGATACTTATGGTAACCATGGATACACTTCTCATTAACTGAGTCTCATCAATAAATTGCACCAAAGTATGTAGTTTATAATTGGAATATGAATAAGAAAATAAGTTTCACTTTCTTGTTAGTGGTATCTGATATAATACGAACGGCTAAATAAAGAGATCTATTCATCGAAAACCTACTTGGAATAGTTTTTATTTTGAATTAAGTTTTTGCCTAGCAAACTACAAAAAGTTGACTAGAACATTATGTTCAAGGGAGAAGATTGAAAGGGAATTAACTATATTTAAAAAGTGTTCTTGAAATAACGATCATCTATTCATCAGAACACATAAACACTGATACAAGGGAGCATCAAATACATACGCGCAACACAATAACAATCAGGCCAGTTGCAGTTATTATTGATTTGTGTTAGGACTGAGATACTGACCAGGATCTCGAATCGTAACAGGTGGCTTTCTAAAGAGGCCATACTCGAAGCTTTTCACCTGAATGTTTGATCTACAAAATAGTGGAGAAACATAAGGAGATGCAGTCCTTTAGTAGCCGGTGACTAACAATTGGTTCATACGCCATTTTTACCCTCAAATTACTGGAGCCGATGTGCACAATTAGTTTGGAATCAGGGTTTTCCAACTCCCTTAGGCAGATTCTCCATAATCGTCAACCCGATTGAAGAATCAGGCATTCGCTTTTCGTCTTTCCAATCTCATAAACAACAGTAATGCCTACAGGAGGTAGTGAGTAGTCCTACCCTATCAGTGGTTGTATGCAGGTGGCTATGTGAGGGTATTTTGAGAGAGAGAGCTGACGTTTTTCACTCTCGGCCACACAAGAACCCCAAGTTTAAGTATTATACATGAAACCAACCTGAGATCACGAAACTTTGACGTATGAAGGGCTTACTAGAATAGTTAAGAATGACATTGTTATTATTTATTGAAGTGAGTCGAAAGAACACTTTGATGATATCACTTATAACCCTCTGAATAGTTTATAAATCTGAAATAAGAATTTACTTTGACACTTTTATCTACCAAGTAAGTCAGTTTGGTTACATAAGTCAAATCACTAGCAACCTAATTCGAAGTGTTTTTTCGAGGTTTTAAATAGGATGTTATTAACAAGGGAGTTTCCATGTATCTAGAGTAAAATGGTTGTCATCAATAACAATGAGTGATCATTGCACCATATTACAAGCGAATTGAAGATGGAAAAGTGTACTATGAGAAAGTGATTCAGTCGTTCAAATGATAAAGTGTTCACCACGACCTGTTGTCAGATCTTTGTTGTGGAGTTTCATAATCGAACAAAGCAACTGTCCAATGTTCTTTAGCTTTCAAAGGCATCTAACATTAGGTCAATCTGTAATGATTATAATCAAAGCACTCTCGTGATATGTGATGTCTATGTGAGATTATTCATTCCAACTGTATTACACCAAGTAATTAATGTCTGAATGAGTTTTCCAAGTGGTTTAAATAATTACTTTTAGAAATGTCTCATTTTTATGAGATTCATTGTTAGAATCTAATAGAGTTACAAAACTGGTACAATTTAATAAGCTTAAATTCACTTACTATTGTTTGTTTGAATCTTCCCATTGATATTTAGAACTGCAACTTGTCAGTCCTTACTTACATATGTGCATACTGTCTTAGTATAGCCTTAAGTCAAAAGCTTTATAAGCAAAGTGAATATCAACTTTGAGATGTAGGTACATCTAGCTGACGAGTCCCAAAAAGGACGAAACGCGCGTCCTGGATTCCACTGCTAGCCACTATCCATCTTTGTTTATTTAACAAGCTCGTATAAATGTCAATATATTTTGTTTCAAGTCAGTTTAACTTTTTTGGTTTTGATATACAATTCGATTCTGTAATAATCTTTAAAGAACTAATCATATATACAAAACTTTCAGTGGAGATATCAAAGTTTGGCTGGAACTGGTCAAATTGTTTATGGTATATGTGAAAAGAAAAATTCTTTGGTACATAGTCATATACAACAAACTAAAGAAATACAGAATCAAAGTATCCTATCTGAAACAAGATTATCATCATCATCAGCAGCAGCAACGGCATCATCAACATTATCAACTATAGACAGTGGAAATATACCTGCTGAATTTTGGTTATTCAGTCCATTGTATAAAACGGATACCATATTAAATGTTTATTTAGAGATAACATATCAAATGAAAAGTTGTTTACAACTTGGTTATTTACATCAATCCATTGAATGTAAAGAACACTTAGATATATTGGCTTATCATACTGATGTACATTTATCATCTATGGTACCCAAGGTTAGTTCATTTACATTTTTTATCTATTAACTTCGAATACTTATGATTTTCATAGTTGAAAGCGTTAGTCAATTTAAGCTAGACCACCAAAGAAAAGCTGGAAGCACTGGATGGCCATTTCGTTCTATAGTGGGACTCCTCAGCAGCTCGCATCCACAACCTCGCCTCGAGAAATTCGAACGCAAGACCTAAAAGTCTCACCGTCCAGTGCTTCCAGGTTTTCCTTGATGGTCTAGCTCCAATTGATTCACGCTTTCAACTATGAAAATACTAAATCTTCACAAAACCAATTCTGATTTATGATTTTCTTTATGCAAGTTTAACTAATTACGTTATGAATATGGTTATTTTTTGATTTTTCATGTTTTCATAATATACAATGTATAACACTTGATTATATAATGATATATAAACATGAGTATTATTTTCAGTTCAGCTATACACAGCTTTATATTGCATTATAACTTTTTTAAATAATCCTGAAATAAGACTACTCAAATATGCTTACTAGCGATTTCTTCAGAGCTCAAGCCTAGCACTACCAGATTTCAAAGTTAATCGTTGGAATTTTTAGATTTGTACATAATAGTTACATAACAGATCTATACTCATCATTAGTACACTATGTTCAACTTCATAGGTGTTGGACTGAAAATGTTATGAAATAGATTTTAAAAAATATTTAAATAAATTATGCTTTGAGCAATTAATATATATTGGATGAAATAATCGTTTCCTATGGAATGATTTAAAAAAAAACGAATAGAAGATCAAACAAACATGTTAGTAAATTAACACCGTTGGATACCGGATCAGTGGTCTAGAGGTTAATCGCTCACGCACGAAACTGATAGGTCATGGGTTGGAATCTCGTGAGGCGGGATCAATTATGAGCACTGCTGAGGAGTCCCACAATAGAATGAAATGGCCGTCCAGTGCTTACAGCTTTTCCTTGGTGTTTTAGCTTCAATTGACTCATTATTTCAACTATGCAAAATATTGTCTCTTAAAATGTATTTACTTTCTTTAACTTACTACTTTTTTATCCTTTTATATAAAAGTTATTTGAACACACATATTAAAACAAAAAAAAAGAAAAAACAAACAAACAAACAAACTATTAAGTTAATTTTTGTCATGTTAAGTCATAATTTGTCATTTAATTACTTGATTAGACATACGTTTTAATTCATCTAAAAGAGAAATACATTTAGATGATGTATGTTCATTGAAAGATCTACCGTCAATATATGTCAGGTTAATAAATAAATAACTTGGGTACATGTTTTTCCTTCTTTACACATATCTAATTAAATGATACTTTAAAAGGTTAATGTCAAATAGATTGATATTAATTAACCATTGTGAACATAGTAAACAGTATCAATAAATTGGTACATGGTAATATGATTGATCAGTACTGTTATCAATCCACTCTGGCGAGACTAAAGAACATGGACGAGTCAATCAGAAGCCTTCGCTGGTTTTCAAGGTCACGGCGCTAAGTTCGGTACTTGACGCTTACGTACGGTCGGTTTACAACGGATTTTAGAAAAAACATGATAATTAAGCGTCTACACGATAAGTTATCCTGAGATTTTGGCGCAAAATTCAATTATATATTTGGATAGAGTTTTGGCATTATAGCTGATGTCAGTTCGTGATGAAAACCCTAAGTGTAATTCCTAACCTTAACCATTAACTGTAAATCATAATTTGAATTTTTCACACGGGTTTATAACCCTCATTTAGTCTTAGTTATTACGTTGACACTATCAGATTCACTCTAGCGTCGCTCAAATGTCGTCCATAATTTATAGTCTCATCTTTAACCCTTAACCGTAACCCTAAACCTTAACCCTAATCCTAAACCCTAAACCATACCAACATACTGACAACACTGAAACTATGTGGTCGAGGCTGAAAGAATTTTCGGGACTTTATCATGGTTCCAGAGGTCGACTACTATGGAGCCACAGGGATGAGTTCCTGTGCCGGATGCACTATGATTTTAGAACTTCTGAACCTATACCTGACCTTGATAAGTTTTTGATTCATGTAAAAGAACAGTATCCCCTTTAATTTTTGAGTTTTGTATAATATATTTTTACTGTATGCTAACTGTCTTCTGATTGGCTAATATTTCTCAAGGTCATTAAAGATTCGTTCAAAGGTCGTCCATGTTCTTTAGTCTCGCATCCACCCTTTACTATTGTAGTGAATGAGAACACGAGTGAGGACAATCGAATGTATTTTAGCACATTACAGAATATCTCATTCAGATATGAAAACCATATAGTGAACAATCAATTATCTCAATCTTGACTGTTCCTTCTGCAAATATCCATCCATAGTCTCTGATTACAATTTTCCATGCATTTTCGTACCAATTGGGTGTCGTTCCCGTTCTCTCCTTATCGATCTTCTACTAAAATATATTCAATACCCGACCATCACCATATACTACTTATGTGGATATCAGTAACCCACACCACACTATGTCTTTTTTGTAATACATAGTAATATATATGCATACACGGAATTATAAGGCTATTTTTTACAATGAGATGGACTACATAATTAATTGTAATAATGAAATAGGGATTTGTGGAGATTGTTGTATTTTAACTGTTTAATTCAAGAGTCGATTTAAGTTACACTATCATTGTAAACCTGGAATCACTGGATGGCTGTCTTATCCTAGTATAAGACTTTTTATTAGTGCGTACCCACGACTCAAATATCATTACGATTTTAAAGCTGATCATTTCATTATGCAATCATAGTTAGACTACTAACCTTATTAAACTTTGAATAGCTGTTTTTAAGTCCTCTTGGAATACTTATATGGTTTTTTAGGGAATAGTCTATGATAATTAACTCTCTAAAGAAAACACCTAAATTTCTAACACCTTACAAATGAACCTTATATTCATACCTGAATTAATGTTAGCAAAATACTCTTAAACTTAGAAATTGATATGTAATCTACTTCTACATTTTTCGGTTCATATGATGACATAAGAATACTTTAACGACGCGCTATGCTGACTAGTATTGACAATGGTTGGAAGAGAGTTAGGGGCGGCCAAACCAAAACGTGGCATCAGAGCATAAAGTCACTAACTTTTAATCTGAGCAATGTTGGCCGATGCAAACTAATTGGTTGGAGTCCGCGTGACTATTGTAACCAATGGTTAGAGACTCTAGGTGACATAGCTCAGAATCGATCACAATGTCGTAGGTGTATACATTCTTAATCTTCCCTTAAACATTGAGATTAAAATTGCTTCATAACTTTTTTTCCTTCTTATGCTATTTCCTTATATACAACCTATCTTTCATATACTACCACCAGTAAATTAACTACTTCTATGAATCCAGTGTTGATCTTGTTGTGCTAACGAGGTATGACAACTTGGACCGATGCATATATGTGCCTGGTCCTACGTTGTAGCTGACTGACTGACTGACTGACGTTATTCTGTTGAGCTTCAACTTAATTAATAAATAGTTTTTAAGTAGTCGGTCTATATAGTTGCAAACTCGATAATATTGAGTTTGCTCAACTGAGATATGGATTGATATCAAGTTTTTCTTTGTAATATATGTTGAGTGTATCGTTAAGTCTATGATACCATTGGAGTACAAAATTGACTTATTTTTAAACTATCCTGACTTTAGACATCATTCATCAAAGACTAATATTTGCTAAACCTTCATAGAAATCAAGAGAGTTTTAGAAAGGTGTTTCATTTTCTTACTTTGAAATTCTTAGAAATGTATACATATGAAGTCAACTCTAACTTTCAAGGTAAATACATTATATTCATACCATTGAGATGACATCCAACAACATGTAATTCCACAATAAGATGAATCAGCTATCCAACATTTCTTAGCCTCAAAATAATGTATTTGACACACATGACATTGATCACCACGCAGTGATCAATCAATTGTGATTACATCTCAGTCCTACAGGAAGTCGATAACCAAATAATCCTAATTCAAAAATAAGTTATTTAAGAATTAAACGTTATTCAAGTTGAAATTTATACTACTATCGATAAACAAACTTTCTGAACATAATGTGATGAAATTCAGTATTATATATTGATATAGTTATCTTGTGAGAAGGAGTAAAGAAATATATTGTTTACAAGTAGTCAGATTAATGTTTCTGAGCTGCACAGTAGCTATTAGGGGAATCTAGGAAACCCGTTTGTCCTCAATCAGGACTTGTCAATTGAATGTTTATTCATCCCATCATTGTTGCTCATATTGGGATTTAGACCCAGTAAGATGAAACGCGCCTACTGACTTCTACTTTGGACAACTACACAACTTTACTTAAGAATCTATATACTGTGTATATTCCCCCTTGTTTTAAATTTGTAGGATTTTACAGAATTGAATATATTAACATTTCAAGAAGGTGAATCATTTACCAATGAACTTATAACAAGTAGTTCACTAAAACGTGTCACAATACAAATACGTCCAACAATGAAATGGTTACAAATAGCATTTCGTGATAATGGTTCATGTGTTCTAATTGATCGTTTAATTGCTTATCATTTATCATGTCCAGCGACTAAAGTAAGTCATCATCATTAATTTACTATGTTTCAATAATAATAATAATAATAATAATAATAATAATAAAAGATGATGATGATGTTACGTTTTGATTGAAAAAAGAATTGAATTTCAAGAATCTGATTTAAAGCTTTTAAATGTTTATTTAAGTTAATTAAAATCATGAACCGACTATTGTTAGACCACCACTAAAAACCTGGAAACTCTTGACGACCGTCTCGTGCTAGTATGGTAATCTTCATCAGTGAGCACCCACGATATATACATATATATATACATACTAATACTATTGAGTAATGACTATACTACACAGTGAATGGATTAACCTGGATAAGCACATTTTGTGCATCATTCAACATATAACAAAATAGAAGTCAGAACATTGTAATTATCGTAATATATTTTCATTTTGTTTTATTTAAACACATAAATATTGGTACAAAGGAGATATATATGTGCCGCACAAATTTCATTTGATTTGTGTGAGGGCTGTGATACTGCCCAGGTGCCCAAACTGAAGCAGGTGGTTTCCCTAGGGAACCACACCCTCTCGATTTTGTAAACAACACCCCGTCACGAGAAGGTAGTGAGTAGGACTTCCCTGACAGAAGCTATATACGCGTAATATAAAGTAATATGAAAAGGAATTCAGTAGTATATGTTTTGTAACTCCTAATCCATTTGTGTAGTTTTTTTCTAATTATATAAGTAACTACAAATTATTTAGTTTTCCACCTTAGAAGGGTAGTTATGAAAGTTTTTAATCATCAATTTCGATATATAAAACTGTTAAATTAAGATGACGTAGTTACAGAGTTTGGAAATCTTTGTAGAACTATGTAAATTGAATGGTTTGTTGTCTACACAAAATGAACATGCAACTGAATTCAGTACTAGTTTATAAATATATATATATTGATATTTCCCAAATTAACCGTAGATTCTGTTTTTAGACGATAATAAGTGATAATATTACAATCTATTTAGTATGCCAATCTAAATTTCGAAAATCAAATATCTTTTTAAGAAAACTCATGGTAGTTTTAAAGTATTCTAATAATCAGAAGAGGGTTTGGTGGAGATGTTTTTGTAATTTTATAGATGATATCATTAGTCAATTAAAGATAAACCACCATAGAAAAGCTGGAAGTACTGGACAGCCGTTTCGTCCTATTGTTGGACTCCTTAGCATTGCGCATCCACTATCCCACCTCACGAGATTCAAACCCATGACCTACCATTCTCGCGCCAGAGCACTTAACCGATAGATCGTGGATGCGCACTGTTGAGGAGTCCCACAACAGGACGAAACGGCTGTCCAGTGCTTTCAGGTTTTCCATGGTGGTGTAGCTTCAATTGACTAATGATCTCATCTTTATTATTCTAATGGTATTAACTTGCTGCATAACATTTAAACAAGAATTATATCTGGTAAGGAAAAATAACAAGATATAATCCTGTTATGGTGACCTGCTTGAATATCTAGACAATGTGTTCCTGACATCAAAATATTTCAACAACTTAATTGTTTCTTCTTTTTCTTTGTTTCAACACATCGTTATGTGCACTAATCACATAACCTATTCAAGAGCGTTTATGAAAATTCTACAAAAATGTATAATCACAGACATTCTGGTAACTGGTACTTTCCACTGATTAGAATGAACATTATTCAGATATCAATTCCTGAACTGTTGATATTTAACTAGTGATCACTCAATATTTATCGTTAGGATCGATCAAGAAATCAGAAACGGAAACTTGTTGAAATAATTCGTTTTCAGAATTCTATATCATGCCGTAAAATATAATATTGAATCAGGCCATCATTAATAATAACATTAATAGAAATATAGTAACTTAAATCTAACTAAGCAAATAGACACTTTAACTTGATGATTGAATACAAAGTAAAGATTGGTTATTTAAATTTATCCTATAATATTGGAGTTTCTTGATCCGAACAAAACTGTTGTGAAGTCTAAGGAAATTCATAGTTTATTTAGGATACAAGTGTCGACAAGAAATAGCGAATAGCTTTGCTAGTTACACTGATTTTGTAAAGTATCCTTAAGAATCGGTTATTAAAAGTTATGGTTTATATTGTCAGATTCAACAGTACGCTTTCGAAATTTACAGTAGAAATTATTCGAATATCATTTATGATTGAATTCTGATAAATCTTCTGACTGGCAGCTTGAATCCATTTTCTAAACTCTCTTAATAACCTCAGGCTAAAACTACATTGCAACGTGAACATGAGAGGGAAAAGACACAAAATGTGGTATGAACGCTTCACTCCAACTTTAGTTTATGTACAGAAAATTGAAAGTATCTATAACATTTCAGATGTTCTTGGGCTTCTAGAAGGAATAACCCTTCACTTTCCAGATGTTTTTGAAAAATCTCTATTCAGTGCTAGATGGATAAAATGTTTTCCAGCATTGTTGGATTCTCTTTAGACTATTTTTGAGGAACATATTGGATCTTCTCAACAGATTCGGTCTAGAAGTTGTGATTATAAAGTCACTCGAAAAAAAATAATTGTTTATTGAAATGACCTGCACTTATTCAATAAACATTCAATCAAACTATTTAGTGAATGCTTTATATCATCGAGATAAATACTTAAATAAAATTTAAATGTTAATTGATAAGCATAAATAATCCATTATTTTTCTGCATGAATGAAAGTACATGCCTATTCATTTCAACACTAAAAAAACCGGGTCATCAAGTTAGGGTTAACCAGTATTTTCAAAAACGTATTATTATCGTATGAAAACGTGATCCAATGTTCATATTTATAAATTAATCATTCAAAGTAAACTATTCTACATGTTCTAATCATTGAATTTTGCTCTTCTCCTTATAATCTGTATTGTGTTGTTGTTTTACTGAATTTGATATAGTTGAAATCAGGAGTCAATTGAAGCTAGACCACTATGGAAAACCAGGAAGTTTAGTCCTATTGTGAGACTCCTCAGCAGTGCGCATCCACGACCAGTGGAGTTCAACCAGGTATGTTGATAGTTATGAACTCACTGAAGACATTGGTGAATGGTTACTCTATTTCGTGGATTGGTTGAAGTTAGACATTAATACCGTTGAATGCCGGATCATTGGTCTAATGATTAAGCTCTTGCACGAGGGTCTGATGGGTCCTGGGTTCGAATCTCACGAGGCGGGATCGTGAATAAGCACTTCTGAGGAGTCTCGCAATAAGACAAAACGGCCGTCCAGTGCTTCGAGGTTTTCCATATTGATCCAGCGTCAAATGACTCATGATTTCAACTACATAAACTTATTAAAATCTCCACGAATCCCCCTTCTGATTACTGAATATTAGTTCAATATGTTCTTCAAATTACTTATTGTCAGCAACATGCTCTTGGCATAGATAATTTGAACAATGCTAAAAGTAGTTGATATTCAAACTTTTACATACTTTCGACATGTATACATACCTCATACATACAATCTAACTGTTTATATACTTAACATTGTCATACAACCTAAATGATTATTGCATGTTATCTGATGAAAATGTCATTGTATGTTTTCATGAAAGACTGTGACTCAACTCCTTCTTTTTTTACCTAAGATAGCAAAATGTTTACGAATAACTTTCTTGTTATGAAAAGGGAAGAATACCAATACTTTTTTGTAATAAATCTATGTTTTTGCTAGGTGATATATAAAGTAGTCGATAAATTTAACCTTGAATACATCATATCAGAATGATCATAATTGTTTCCTTTGTATTTCATTCAGTGTTTTTGAAAAAAGTACATCAGTAGTATATGTTATTTACCTTACTTTTCGTATAACATTTAGATAATGATTTGATATTTGTGTGATATCTTGTGGCCTTGTGCCCTATTAATATATAACGTAATGATACTACCGATTAGAAGACAATGATTTATCGACTGAATCAATGACACATAAACTCGTAAGCGCAGTCTAAAGTTCTAATCGGTTCTTTTTCATGTTTATCCCTGTCTGTTGAGTCTAGAATATCAAACAGACAAACCAAACAAACTACATCACACCGTAAAATAAGAAATAACATTTCTACAAGATCTAACTAAAAGTTTCTGTGAATATAGGAAATTGTAATTAATAAACTGGGCAGAACTCAAGAACGGCAAATCGCATGGATCAAAATGAAGCTTATAATAAAATGAACATGAATATGAATAGTTTAGTTACTTAACAATTATACAATAAAAATGCATGAATCGTATTGGTCTATAGATAGTTCTCAAAAGTTACCATTCATAATTCTCATCAGGATATAACAATTTGTAAACAGCGATGGACTACAAATACGCAATGTTTTCATGCAATTAGTAAGTTTGTAATAAACAAAACTCTGGTGGGGACAATCGAATGTATTTGGATACAAATTACAGACTGTCTCACTAAATTCTCATTAACCATATAACAAGTAGTTAACTTGCGAAATAACCATCAATTATCTCAATCTTCACTGGGTTTTTTTCTGTAAATATCCATCCATCTTCTCTAATTCCATTGTTCATGCATTATCCTGCCAATTGCGCTTCATTTCAGTTCTTACCTTATCGGTATTCTACGTCTGACCATCGCCATATACTACTTATATGGATATAAGTAGACCGCACCACAAGTTGATAACAGTTCCATCGTTGAATAACTCTTTTAGATATCACAATAGTTACTGAAACTTTTAATCAATATTGTAATAACTGTTTTAGTTAAAATATGATTCATATAAAAACACTTCACTATTTTGATGGAGTTTTGTTCTCTCTGAGCTTGATGGTTTGTTCGTGGAGTTTTCATCGTCCTTCTGAATGACATCATCAGCACAAACTTCACTTCTACCCAAAGTTTGTGCTGATGATGTCGTTCAGAAGGACGATGAAAGCCTCACAACCAAACCATCCAGCTCAGAGAGAACAAAACCCCATCAAAATCACCTACCTGATCTACAAATCTTCTCCATCACACTTCACTATTTCACGAAATATTCTTGATAATATTACTGAGCTTAACTTAATAACCTCCATAGTTAAGTTCGTCTATTCATTAGAATAGAGTAATGTCAATGTATTTTATTTCATACCCTTTATTTTCTAGTTTCGTCTAATTAATTTACCAGAAACTGAAGCTGGACATAATAAAGAAGTGAGACAAATTCATGTACAATGTATTCCAGGATCAATTTTTGTTAATCAATATTCTATATATACAAAATTAAATGATCATTTAATTCATAATAATAAATTATTGAATAATCTAAATGATGAAAATAATGGATTAGCATTTTGTATGGCTGATGGTAAATGGCATTTACAAACAAATCATGGATGTGTATGTGATGCAGGCTATGAATTAATAGAACATGCAGAAACATGTCAAGGTGATTGGTAATTAAATAGGTTTTTACATTATATGTATATATGTATATAACATTAATTTATTAGGAACTACCGCAGTAAACATTGATGAGAAGTTTTACAAAATACAATCCCAATAAATCAAAATCCACCCTGTCTCACAAGTCTATAACTATCTGGACTCAGTAACTAGATAGATAAGACGTTATGAGTTTAAAGTGAAAGTTAGACAATTCGAGTCATGATGCTGCAGTGTAGGTATATTCAACTAATGGTTGTCATATAAGACGAAACACTAGATCTAAATTCCAAAGCTAAACACTATCCAACTCTACTTATAACTAAGGAATTAGTATTGTTCAATGAGTTCGGTTACGTTAACAGTAATGTGTTTGGAACTGAAATCAAACATCATAACAGTCAGATATATTACTAACTGATACAAAGTTTTTTACGAAATGCTTCACTTTAAGTTAACAATCTAAAAATGTTAAAAAGTAAATGTGAATAGAAAGAATCGAGCGTCCATTTCCCCTAAGTTAACCGCACTCTATACATCTATACTTCTGTTGTATTTTTGATAAGATCAACACATATAAATGAGAAGGGGTTTTGTGGAGATTTCAGTATTTTTCAAAGTTGAAATCATGAGTCGATTGAAGCTAGACCACCATCGAAAACCTGGAAGCACTGGACGGCCGTTTTGTCCTATTATGGGACTCCTCAGCAGTGCGCATCCATGATCCCTCTCTCGCGAGATTCGAACTCAGGACCTACCAGTCTCGATCCAGAGCCCTTAACCGATAGACCACTGAGCCGGCATCCAACGGTGTTAATGTCTAACTTCAACCGATCCACGAAATTGAGCATCTATTCACCAATGTCATCAGTGAGTTGGTATCTCCCAACAGACCTGGTTGAACTCCACTGGTCACTGCTTCCCACTAGAACTCCAGGACACATATCTTGAAGTCAGTCACTAGTGAACATATGATTATAATCAGAAGATGTTTTGTGGAGATTTCAGAGGAGTCCCGTAATAAGACGAAACCGCCGTCCAGTGCTTCCAGGTTTCCCATGGTGGTCTAGCTTCAATCGACTCATGATTTTAACTTTGAAACATATAAATGAAATAACGTCAGCTATTCACTTTATATTTCATAACTCATTACACTTTAATGCACCTTTCAAATAACTCATTCTTTTTTATCATGTTCATTTAAAACAGCTTGTCCAAGAGGAATGTTTAAATCATCACCTGGTCTACAACCATGTAGTATATGTCCATTGAATTCAATTGCACCACATGCTGGTTTTCGAATATGTCATTGCTTATCAGGATATTTTCGTATTGCTCCAAATTTATCTGCTGAACATAGTTGCTTAGGTATGTTAAATATGTGATTGTTTTTTCATGATTTCTGTATATCATTTAATGTCAATTTGATGTTGTTATCATTATTATTAAAGAATGAGTATAAAATTTATGGTGAACCAATCTTTGCTTCAAAAATATTCTAAGTTGCTGAATGGGAAGATTTCATCTGTATAAATAAGAAAGCTACGTAGTTATATTTAAACATGTATTTTTAGTATTACTAGTTTCTATCATGGATGCGCACTGCTGAAGAGTTTCATAATAGAACGAAACGGCCGTGCAGTGCTTCCGAGTTTTCCATCGTGGTCTAGCTTCAATTGACTGATGGTTTCAACTATGAAGATATTGAAATCTTTACAAAAACCTCTTCTGACAACTAAGAGGGTTTACAATTGTCGGATTATCTGGCAGCGACAAATGTTATGTATTTCCAGACCTTCCTAGCACTAGTCAAATCCTATCGATCAAGTTACAATGTAATCTACTAGTTTAAGCGAATCGAAAATTCAGTCCTGCAGAAGGTCAGTCGTGTTCTGAATAGCTCAGTGGTCATGTCTCTAACTGTGAAGCTTGATGAAACAAGATCAATCCCCCAGGGGACATCAGTATTTTAATATTTACAAGCGAAACTCAGTGACGACTGTCATTGATTCTGCCATAAATTCAAAATTTTTAGATCGGATAAAATCCAAATCCAAACAACTCGTGCAGAAATCTTTATTATTCAGATCTTACTACTAATAACTGAAGTGCCTTTTGTATATAAGTAAAATAATTCAGAGAATAAGCATAAGAGTCACATTGCTTCCTCTCAAGGAATTAAAAGGAATATTCTTATCTAGTTAAACTAAGAATGGGTTCATCATACTACATAACTTTTGTATAGCTTATAGTTAGTAAATTCTATAGAATTGGCTCAATTTAATCTGAAAATAAATTTCACTTGAATCCGTCGAGGGACTCACTCGGCAATGTAACTGTCACGTCCTTGATCCGTCTGCCAACTAATATGAAAGAGAGTACTTGTCTCGACCTGGTTTAAGGCCTTAACATGATAGTCTATCTGATTCAACCTTGAAATAGGTAATGAGCTAATCCGATTTGTGACTGAATGACCTTAAGTGCAGAGAGGGATTGACAAGTTAGGGAGAAGGATTGCTTGAAACACCACCAGATTTGTTTCTGGTTCAATTAACTCTAAAAGACACAAGTAGATAATTAGTACTGTCGTGGGCGAAAACACAGACGAAGACAACCAAACGTATTTTAATACTGTACAGAATATTTTGGTAAAATCTAAATATCATACAGTAAATACTTCATTTGCAAAATGTTAATCAATTGTCTCAGACTTGATTTTCCCTTCGTTTTCACACCGATCATTCTCTATTCTCGTTCTGTTCTCTTCTATCTCCTTAACTTTCTTCCGCCAAGCATTTCACTTTCGATGAGTGATGCATACTACTTATATCTGTCGACAACAGTAGCATACACCACAGTACGATCACGACGCACAAAGAATTATAAAAATATAACTGTATCCATAATAAGTATTCGGAAAACAAAATTATTGTGACAGCTAAAAGTGGTCTGGGCATTAGGATTCAGGCTGTTCCAATGTTATCAATGCATAGTATACTGTACATAATCAAATAACATGTACGAATGGCTTGAATTGGGTCTAGCTTTAAGTTCATATGTTTATAGATGATTAGAAAGGAGAAAGCGTATCATGAAATACTAAAGCATTTTCTGTTGAAAAGTAAGCGGATAAAGTGAACATTGACAGATATCCTGTAAAAGATAGTAGTAGTTATGCAATCGTAATACTTAAATATTTATCAATTAATTTGTGAATTAACATTAGTGGGTATTACCATTATTATGTAGATTGGCTGCTTCAATATTGGTTTTCATTTTTTATTTCATAGGCTTAAGGGTTGCGCAAAGTATGTTTGATTGAGTGACACTATTAGTTGTGATCCAAAAATTGTGACTCAAAAATAAATTCATGAAATAGTGATGAAGAAGAATTGTAATTCAGGTGGATGATTTTGGCGGAGCTTTGTCCTCTGAGCTGGATGGTTTGTCCGTGAAGCTTTCATTGTTCTTTTGAACGACATCATCAGCACAAATTTCAGGTAGAAGTAACTGAAAGCCTCGATCCTGCCAGTGACCAAGCAAAACGTTTAGATTCATTGTGTGAACGATACATTCGTCATCGTCAAAAAGGACGAGCAGGAAAACACCTACGATCTGATCAACAACGTCTCCGATGACATAAAGTTCACAATGGAGCAGGAGTCAAACAACAAACTATCGTTCGCGGATGCATTCGTCACCAGAACCGACACATGAAAACTGGAGACTCAAGTATATCCGAAGCCGAACAACATAGATCAACTTCTTAATTACAGCAGCAATAACACAAAAACTCACAAAATCAACTGCATAATGACTTTATTCAAGATAGCGAGAGCACGCAGCAATACACTTTCTGGGAGGCAAAATTAAGAAGAATGTCTAAAAGTTATTTTTCAAAGAATGGCTACCTAATCAACCCCATCGAAAAGTATCAACCAAACCCATCAGCAGAAACAACAGAAACCAATAAATGGATCATCATACCATAAATAAAAGACGTCAGAAATCACAACGACCTTATTGAAACATGTTGGAACAGATGTAGCACACAAACCAACAAAATAATTTCAATCAATCATATGCAAACCAAAAGACGAAATGACAAAAGAAGAAAAAACGAATATCATCTACAAAATAGATTGTTCCAACTGAGAAGAACACTACATCGGACAAATTGTGCGCCCACTTCATTTACTCCTGCACGAAAATCATGTGTCAGGTTTGTGCTGATGATGTCGATGAGAAGAGCGATGGAGGCGTAACGACTAAACCATCCAGCTCAGAGAACAAAACTCCACTAAAATACATAAAATAATATTAAACAATCTATTTATACCAAATACTTTTAAAATTATGTTACTTAAAATGTTATTTCATAGTGTGTTGTTTAATGATTGAACTTACTTCATGTTTGAGTATTTTTCATTCTCAATCCATATCACTACACAGGTACGCGAATTAAAGTGTTCTAAATCGTTAGTATTGGTTAAGAAGTATTGATCGGCAAGTAATTGATTCTAGTTTTTTCTCAGACAGTAGCTAGCTGTGGAATTCTGAAGAAGCTTTTTGTTCATGTTGGGGCTCTTCAGACAGATGTATCTGTATTTAATTGTTTACCTTAAGATTTAAACCTAGCACAAATCGTTCCAAATCTCAACATAATACCCATCAAGCTATCAAGTCCTGATTGCTAGTAACTTGTCCAGTGGTTATGAAGTTATTTTTATAAGTTTGTAATTTTTGATATCAACCAGGGTAAATTAAAAACTCTCACAATTAAGTAACTATCAATTCATTTCTAGGTTGAGTAAATGTATTCAATCTGCTTTTCTGAACGATTTTGTATAGGCCCACCATCTGCTCCAAGAAATTTGAATGCTATACACATTAATGGAACATCAGTGGTTTTATCCTGGGATCCACCAATTCGTTCTGGTGGTTTTCATGAAACCTTATATCATGTTCAATGTCAAGGATGTCAAATAGATACGGTTAAATATCAACCTGGAAATCATCTAAATGAGACTAAGTAAGTTATTATGGAAATAATAAATTGTTGCCGATGAATTTTTGAGATATAATTTAAGGCAAATCGACTTGATGAGGATGAAATATATCTGAAAGGTATCTCGTTGTTATCGATATTCAGTCTAGTTTACATTGAACTGATACGTCTCAGACATATTTCGTTGTTGTACTTTACAAAGAAGGAGGTCTTAAATAATATGTTAGGCACATTGATGTGTTTCTATCATGGGGAAATGTTAATTTAAGCTGATTATGATAAAATAAAATAATTAAATGATAAGCAAAATTTTAAAAATCGTGAAAGTTACTGTTATTTCTAGAGCTTTAGATTCTTGCTATGCCGCATACTACTAGACTACTTGAACGATCGAACCCGCAACGTCGCAAGAGAGAAAACGGAAGACCAGTAAGCAGGAATGTTATTCTTAACACAATGTCCAATATAGTACAAAAAACTCATGTATTTATAGTTATTAACTGAAAGTAAATCATCATTTCGGAGAGTCAATAGGCACATAGGGCGGCCTTCTTATTCATCCAATAGGGTAGCTACACGCCGACATTCTAGAATTCTTCCCTAGTGATGATTGGATGGAATGTCTTCAGCTCTTTCTGGGCTTCTTGAGGCTTCCTTGAGTTTGCCAACAAGCCATCGTTACAGTTATCAAAGATGAATGTATAATTCGGTGTATATTAATGTAAACAAAGGCAATAAATTATGTAAACTTCATTAATTCAGTCTCTCCTGTAATTCGTTCTTTATTGAAGAAAAAGAATTCACGAATAACATTATTCTAAATAAATGTAATTAAATAACAAGTTATTGATGGGACTAACAAATGTTTGTTTTTGTGAGAACAGTTCATGGCTGAACTCGAGGATATCCCAAGAAGCTCAGAAAGAGCCATAGACATTCCATTCAATCATATTCTGGAAGAATATTCCAGAATCTCGACGAGTAGCTTCCCTATTGGACAAATGCTAAAAACCACTGGATGCGGATTGGATGACTATAATGATGATTTCGTTTTTTTACTAAAAACTATAAATAGCTGAGAGTCTTGTACCATATTTGACACTATTTGGAATAACATTCCATTCGCTTGTCTTTTGTCTTCTCATTTGCGACTTGGAGGGTTCTAGCATTCGAATGCTCAAGTTTTAAGCGGTATATTAAGAATCTAAGCTCTAGATATAACATTTAGTATTGTTTGTTTGAATCTTCCCATTGATGTTTAGGACAGCAACTTGTCAGTCTCTTATTGTCATATGTGAATAATGTGCGTATTGCCTCGATATAGCCTAAATACACAAGCATTATAAACAAAGATGGAAGGTGGCTAGCAGTGGAATACAAGACGGATTGGACTCCTAGAGTGAACATCAACTGTGAGATGCAGGTACATCCAGCTGACAAGTCCCAAATAGGAAGAAACGCGCGTCTTGGATTCCACTGCTAGCCACTCTCCATCTTTTTTAGATATAACAGTTTTAAACTGAACTAAATTGGGAATAACTAAAGATTATTAAGTCTCTACAAACGTGAATAGAAATATATGTATTTATGTATGCATATACACTTAGACTTTATTTTTAGTATAAATGGCTTAACTTTTGGTACAATATAGAGTCCTCAGAGCAAATTATTTCAACAACTTTTCTTTTCTTATTTCTTGATCGTTATTGATGATAAAGTGGTCGTCAGTTACATGTTAATGGTTCGGAAATCGATTTGTGAATAATGTTCATTCTCTTCAATGCATAGTACCAGTTACCACGACGTCTGTGATTGTACATTGTATGTCGTAATTATCTATACACACTTATTGTTTGCAACGAGTATCAAATATATTCAAATTTTTAGTGTTCATACAGAAAAGTGTCCAAGATATATATTAACCACTGTTTTATCCTAACTGATGTCTTTGTATGGATAGTTCGCATGTTACAACCTATTTCTTACCAAGTATAACACCATCAGGTTTTGAGTGCATTCTCCGGTTGAGTTAGTTGGTCTGTTATATGCAACAGAAAATCTAATATATACGTATAGTGGTCCAAGTTGCTATACTGCATCAACATAGTGAAGGTAAAATAACCAAGCTAAATGTCAGAATAATAAATGTAGTAAGGCGAGACTATGATTTATGGACGACCTTTAAACGAATCTTAAGTGACCTTGAGAAATGTTAACCAATCAGCAAACCTCCGGCATAGAGTAAAAATATATTATACAAAACCAAATATTTAAAGTGAATACATCTCTTTTATATGGTCCAAAAACTTGTCAAGGTTAGATAAAGGTTCAAAGGTTTTAAAATCTTTATGCATAAGGTAGAGGAAGTCATCCATATCGCTCCATAATAGTTGGTCTCTGAAGTCATGATAAGGTCACAAAAACCCTCTCAGCCTCGATCACATAGTTTCATTATTGTTTATGTGTACTCCGGTTGTATAAGTTTGTGGATATGTCCCCACAACACTCATGCCGCAGAGCAGCCAAAGCTTCAGTAACATCTGCGATTATTGCAACCAATGTTACTGGTGCTTTCATAATACATTTCGCGGCAATTATTATAATGTGCCTTAGTCTCAATCTGGATCGAGCGATAAAAGTTTCTATTCTAGTGAACGTCTTCCTTCAACATATATTACATAGAAGGACAACATCACGGTAGTCTGCACAAGGTCTACAAGTCTCTTGATTACCACAATCACAAATAAAGGAATTTCTTAGTAGTCTCGTTTAATGTAGCGGCTTAATTGTCAAGTCTTCTCTAAAATTCTCTGTAAACCGATCGTACATGAGCATCAGGCACTGAAATCGGCGCCGTGACCTTGAAATCCCTCAAACGCTTCTGATTGGCTCGTCCATATATTATAGTCTCGCCATGTAGTAATAGGATAAGTGGTTGTAGAAAAAATGGAACATAAAAAAGTAATGAATTATCGTAATGAAAATGATTATAAAACTTTGGATCTAAGGCAAGACAAAAGAGGAAATTTATCTCATTTATGGAGATCAATATTCAGCCATGAGACTCAACATATCTAGATATTAGTTACTTCCAACCAGATAAACTACACTCACCTACATCTCTCAAAATTTCATTGGATTGATACCATTATTTTGGTTTAACCTCCATCTATATTAACCTTAAAATTTACATCTACACCAGTAAACATAATAAGTTAAGGCAGATAGTGATACGTAATACAAGTAACACTTGCTTTAGCCAACTGAAGTTCATTGCCTGATCAGTCTATTTGTTATATAGATACCTGATCAAATCCCATTCAGTAATAATGATACTTAAGTCTACAAACTTAAATAATACACAAACTAACAAAATTCAAATATATAACATTAAGAAAAACCTTAATAAATCATTTATACAAGCAATACTAATGTATATACAGTAGAATGTATATACAATAGGACGAGACGGCCGTCCAGTGCTTCCAAGTTTTTGATGGTGGTCTAGCTTTAATTGACTCATGATTTCAACTATATATAAGAAAATCTTTAGTTTATACTTTAAGAAACGATCACATATATATAATTGAATTATAGCAACTATCCTACAATCAATTTCGATTATTGTTAATTTTGATTAAGCCCTTTTTATTAACTTACTTAACAGGCATTATCATTTGGATAGTAACAATTCGTATGTATATTTCTACTGTTATGTTCTTTAGAGCATATAACAGACTCTAACCAAAATGTTGATTACTTAAATATCATTGGTGGAGAAGATTTGTAGCTCAGGTGGGTGATTTTGATGAAGTTTTTTCTCTGACCTCGATGGTTTGGTCGTGGAGCTTTCATCAACCTTCTGAAAGACATCATCAGCAAAAACACTTCACTTCTACCAGAAGTTTGTGCTGATGATGTCGTTCAGAAGAACAATGAAAGCTTCACGACCAAACCATCGAGTTCTGAGAACAAAACTCCATTAAATATCATTCGACAACTTATCCTCCTCCTCATACATGTATGCATTCAAATCCTATCATTAACTTTTGCTTTGCCTTGCTGTGCCCTTATACAATTCGACTATAAATTTGCCTATGTAATTGCTCGCGCTTGCTCGCTAATACTTAATCATGTGTTTGTAGCTTTGTAGACTATGTTATTCGATAATAAGCAGTGGTTACAACTTCTCTTTGCTTTCTGATATGATGCACCGTTAAGATTGGAATTATGACAGTTATCAAGGTGAACGATTAGCGAAGCATTGCATTACAGACTATTAAAATATAACAGTAGGCTACAAAACCGAAAAAAAAGAGAAAAATGTTATTCAATACTTTTCTCATTTGCTTCTAGGAAAAAAGGGGAAATATTTTATGAATCTGACAAGTTTTTTTTTCTTACTTATCTGATATATGTCTAGTTCAATATTAAATATTTGTGTTGTGTAGGCAATATGGATACTCCTTTTTTTTGTTCTTATCTGTAATCTTATTCAACTTTACTATTATTATTATGATTATGACTGTTGTACACTTTAAACGGAATACAAAATTAGACAAATGAAATATGAAAAACTAAATGTCAATAAGATGAGAAGAAACAAAATGAAATTCATTGAATATAAATAATGATAGAATAAAGTTTAACCTTCTTTCCAGTTCTTCCCCGTTAACATTCATCCTTTTCATACCTGCTTCTATTTGACGCGTGATGTGTTCTTTGACTTTCTTCTTTCCCTATTCCCTTCCGGATTCCAAGTTAGGGATTGCCTCACGATGTAGTTTGGTGATTTAAGATTGTGATTGGATATGGTCAACAGGAAACCCTGAACCTGGGTTTCATGCTAATTGGCACTCGTCAGCAAGGTGTACCTGTTATCTTGAGGGAACTGATGCTCCCTGGCGGATTCGATCCCGTATCACTCAGCTTCAAAGTCAGAGACGTTACCACTGATCTATTCGGGCCGCGACTGACCAAGTAGCACGAAACCCGGGTCCAGGGTTTCCTGTTGACCACCTCCA